TATTCTTGATCACTGTGTTGGAGGATTATAAATTTTATTGTTCTTGTCCAAAAATAGCTTTTAGATTTACTGATTTCTCTTTACTTTTTGTATTTTATTTAATTGTTTTCTATTCTTCCTTACCTTTATTTACAGTGAGTTCATTTATAGTGGGTTCTTTGTATCTATTTATAATAGGTTCTAGTAAAAGCTCACTTCTTTTACTAGATACTTAAGGTGGAAGCTTAAACCATTGATTTAAGACCTTTTTTCTTCTCTAACATAAGCATATAAAGCTATAAATTTCCTATGCACTGATGTATCTGCAGCCCCCCATTTTGATATGTTGTGCTTTCATTTTAATTCATATTTTCAACCTATTTTAAAATTTTACTTATAATTTAGAAATTTTGTTTAGCTTTCGAATATTTGGGAATTTTTAAACTATCTTTATGTTATTGATTACTAATTTAATTCTGGTGTGGTTTTAGAGTTTCAGGCAGTAAGAGATGAACACGGGACTACTTCATTTGAGAGGGAGACTGGTGGGAATGGGAAAAGGGGTTAGATACCATCTGCTTGTGGGGCTCTTTGCATTTCTTTTCTGACTTCTGAGGGGCTCTGAGGTACTGCTTGGGTTTTTGTGATACATAGGCTGAAATCACTGCCGTAGAATGTGCTATAAATTTGTTTACATGAAACGATGCAAAGATGAGGAAGGTACTTGGAGGAAAGCCACTAGTACATCACTGAGTGGTTGTTTCAGATTAAGCACTTTAAAAGATTTGCTGTATAATTAAAATATCCAAACAAATGAAGCATTAATGGAAACATACATTTTATTATGCAGCATAAATTGAGAATGAGTACCAAGATAGAAAAAACAGAAGTGTTTGTATAGTCCAGATGAAAATATTTGGTCCTATACACACTTTTCAGGAATATATAATTTCAGTGTTTCTTAGAGATTGTATTTTTGCACAAATGGTAACATTTATTATTTCCCTTAACATCCTCTTCATTATTGTTTATAAAGCTCTATAATGCAGATAGTTTTTGTTAAAATACAATTAGTAGGCCTTTAACAAAATTGTCAGAACTAAGTAGAATGATAGAGTCAATGCCTACTGTTATACCTGTAATATTTTAAGTGGCTGGAGAGGTGTTTCCTGACAGCTACCTAAATCCTTTCCCTTCATTTAGAGTAGGGATCACAGAACCATGGCCCATGAGCTAAGAATGGTTTTTACTTTTTTAAAGGGCTATAAGAACAAAATGAAGAAGGATCTGTGTCACAGACCAGTGTGGCCCATAAAGCTTAACTTACTTACTCTCTGGCCCTTTACAGAAAAAGTTTGCTGATTCCTTATGTCAAGCAAGAAACAATTCAAATTTAAGAACGGTTTCATCATTATAGACCACTTCAGAAAGGAAAGGATAATGACAATGACTGTTAGAATAACATGGACCTTTCTTATCTTTTTTTAATTAACTTATCCAAGGGGCTATCATGAGAATCTTTTCTCTACAGTGACCTATGTATATCTAAATGGGGGAATTTGGCATTAGTCCACATTTGAAAAATACCATTACACAGAGAAGACTGATAGTGAATAAACTGTCCATTTATTTTTCAAGAATAGTATTCTTTAGAGCAATAAACTTCATGTTAGGTTTGGTATTATACTATGTATAGTTCTCACATTAGTTTGTAGATACAGCTGAATTTTTAAAACTTCTTCAAATCACTTCAATTTTGAATTATATATGTACAAATTAATTTTATATTGTCCTCTGTATTTTGCAGGACGATTGTCTTTTGAAAGTATGGTATCCAATGACTGGTTGGAAGTCTTCAATTATACCTCAGGATCATCATGAAGTGAAAAGGAGACAGGCTTCTACTCAGTTTTCCTTCGTTTACTTGGCACATCCCCGAGCCGTGACAGGTTTTTCATGGCGTAAAACTAGCAAGTATATGCCCAGGTAAGATGAATGTATCACATAACTTTAGTTTGTATGCTTATATGTTTATAAAAATAATGAAAATGAAGTCCTTTTGTTATTGACATGGTCATGATTAATAGCATAGGTTCTGGAGTCAAGCTGCCTGAATTCAGATCCTACTGTTGTTATTAGCTTCATGAGCTTTTGACTAAATTTCTTAAGCTCTCTATGCCTCAGTTTTCTCTCTGTAGAATGAGGACAGTAATAGTACCTACCTCAGAGAATTTTTGTGAGACTGAAATGTGTTTGTGTGTGTAAAGTGCTTAGTACAGGCCTTTGCACATACTATGTGCCAGGCAATGGAATTGTTAGTAGTAACTGCAGTACTAGAAGATTCTAGCAAGAAAATGTTTACAAGTTACAGGAAACCACACATTGAGGGTTATTAAAGCACAGTAATAAACTGTCAGTAATATGCATGATATTAAAGCATATAATATACAGTGAATAAAGTAGCCAGGTTGTGTTTTTTTTTTTTTTTAACTCTTAGGGCTGCCAACAGAACTTTCTCAAAAGATTCTTTTATTATAAGTTTTTCCTCATTGTTTTGGCATCTCTTAAAGGTATTGGGAAGATTAAATAAACTGCAAAACAGCTCATACAGATGATTCATGTATTATAAACAGGTCTAAAAAAAGCTGTTGGGCATTCAGAAGCTTGCTTAGAAATCTATTCATTCTTGAGGGAGGGTTATTTCAACTACTAAATATATCTGAGAACTGCTTACACCTGATATGAAATACAGCACACATCATAGAGATGCTCAGTAAATGATGACTCAGTAAAGTAAAAGGAAAATTTATATATTTTCAGAATCCAAATAAAAGGTTTATTCTGTTTAAGTTATTCGCATCTATTGATAACATTTGTAAAATACTTATGACTCAGATTCTATGTAAGCATTTTTTAAAGGAAAATGATTTTTTTTGTTTTATAACAGTTAAGTCACTATTGCTGCTTGATGTAATGCCATTTTTACTTAATAGAAATTGATTTATAGTTTGAAATGATGTTCTTCTTACAATTTTATTGTGAAGATGCTTCTTTGTTTACCTATCATAACTGTTTGGATTAAGGAAGGAGAATATAAAATGATGGCACTACTGCCATAAACCAGATAGTTTAATTACATTTAATGATCTTTTATTGTGGTCATTCTGTAAGTTGCAATTACTAAGTTTTCTTTTGTTGTTTGTTTTGTTTAGGAGATACTAATAATCTTCCAGAGCCTAGATTTCAAGCAGCACATGTGTAATCTGGCATTAATTTCTATTTCCTTTTTCAAGACTGTTTCCTGGTTTTATGATGGTCACAGTGTTACTGTATCTGATTTCAAGCTCTTTTGATTGATTACTTTTTCCCATACAGTGTTTTGTGCTAATGTCATCTTTATACATGAATAAGCAAATATTAATAGCCTTTAATTAGTTGATGGCATTGATATTCACAGTAACCTCTATTTATTTCTCTTTGTTGTTAGGGGTTCTGTCTGTAATGTGTTATTAACTTCATGCCATGATGGTGTGTGCCGGCTCTGGGCAGAAACCTTATTACCAGAAGACTGTCTTTTGGGTGAGCAGATTTGTGAGACTACCACTTCCAGCATTGCCAGTAATCTTCCTCATGCTGGAAGACATAAAGACAGAATACAACATGCTCTTGAGGTATTATATTGTTTAAGTTTTATCTTTAAAATGAATTTTGAAGATATGTGAGTCTGGTGGAAATTCATAAGCTAAGATACAGATGGTACACATGGTATATGTAATGATGAAATTAGTAGGAATAAATTCTCATTTATCCTTGTAAGACTACTCATTTTATACCACTAAGAAGCCAAATACAGATAGTAATGCTCTCAGATATGTATTGTAGGTAAATAATATAATTTTAATTCCTTTGTTTTCAAATGTGAAAATCTGTAGGAGTAAGTAGCTTTGATTAAAGCACATAAAGGTCCTTGAAATTAGTTGTAATTAAAAATATTTTGCTTTTGTTTCATGAGGATTAAATTTTATTTTTATTGTTCTAATTAAAAATGTCTATTTTGTTCCTTAAAATTAAGATATTATTTATTAAGATATTAGACACAAATAAACTCATGTACTTGCTTTGCATGGTTGAATATTTTGAAAGTGAAATAATTTTTCTAATTTTTAAATACAATATGAGATAAAAATACTTTATAAGAAATTAGATTATTTATAATATGTAGTATAAACTATTATGTCCAGTATGATTAGGAAATAAAATGAGATAGACACATTATTCAGAATTACCAGAAGTGTATTATACTAAACAGATTACCATTTTCTTATGACTATTTTTATTATATAAGAAATATATGCTTATTCTAAAGTTAGATTAAGAAAAGGAGAACAAATATGGAATTTATAATCCAGCTATTCCAGTTATGTGTGTATGTGTATTTTTCTTTATTTACAGAATTGAGATCATATTATGCAATAACGCTTTATAACTTGCTTTTATACTTAATATGTTATAATCAGTAATGTATATTATTGGTTGTACTTTTACATTATGTATTTACATTAACAGTTTAATGGTTGCATAGCTAAAGTGGCTTTGCTGTTTTACCAAGCAGAAATATTATGTGAGTTTGATAGGTTAAGGAGGTGGTCCTTAAAAGTTTTATTTAAAGTGGCTTCTCTGATACTGTGATTGGGCACTATTAATATTTATTTTTCAATGTTCAAAACATAAATGAAATTAAAAGCAGAAGTCAGACAGCTACAGTTATCTTTTATTTTGATATTGAAATTTAGTGGGACAAAGTGCTTAATTTTTAACTAGATGTTTACAATCATTATGTATACTTATGGAACATATTTTATCTTCAAATTACGTAGGAGCCTTGGAGGCTAAGGGCTTTTAGACATCTTTGTATCCTCCATTGTACCTAATATATTGCTTTTCAAGTATTTGTTAAATTGAATTACTAATTGTTACATAAAATAAAACAAA